ATCATTTTCGCTGACGATAATTGGCGTAGTGGTTCAATGCCTTTGATTTTGTATTGTTTTTAAGAGTTAATGTAATTAAATTGAGTTATTAATTGACAGGGCTGGAGGATCTGTTATTATGGAGCCGGAGTGATCGGCTTAATCATCGCCGTCCTTACGGGTCTGTCGTTAACCGAGCCGGAAAGAAAGACGATCGGAGAGGAATCGACTAACGACGGAGAGCGACTATCGGTTTGGAAAGTACTACTGCAACCGCGCATTGTTCTCTTATGCCTCGCCGCCAGCATCAGACATAGCGGTAAAAGGCAATACCTTGAAGCGAAAGGATTGAGATACATATCGAGGGTATATTAGCGATCTATTCGAGTTTGCACTAATTCGGCGAATTTGCCGTGATACTTTCTTTCTCTTTGAATACACTTTATCTAATAAAACTAAAACCTAGGTTTGAATTTCATCGATTTGAAGAAGGAACGAGTCAAATCTGATTTAAATAATATAGCCTCTCTTTAAAGTTCCGGAATTAATTTTTTTAAATTCCACACTAATTATATAGAAAATTAGATCTCGATGAAATAAGTCGGTTTCCACTTATAATATGGTGTGAATAAAAGATATCGTAAATACAAGACTCAATAATGGATTGTTTCTTAACTATGGTGTATCACAAATGGTCTGTGAGCACAAGTTTTACATTTTGAACAATATCTTTATTTTAGACCGTATATGTGAGAAACACAATCAATACTAGAAATTTAAAATGCCTATTACGGTCGAAGCTGGATCTTCGTTGTTTAAAATAATTCAATCTTGAATTACTAATATACAGGGTGTCCCAAAAAGGTCGGGACACCTAAATATCTCGGGAAATATAAGTTTTACAGAAAAGTGTTTCAGACAAAAGTTATATGATTTAAAAATATCTATTTACTGATCCTATCAGTTTGACCTTGGGTTGCGTAGCCAAGGTCAGGTCAAGGTTACATTGATTTTCTGAAATGGAACACCCTATTTTTGATTCAAGAATCTAATAGCTAATGTCGAGAGCTTTCCAAAACGCTATAATAAAATATTTTTTATGAAGTACTTTTCAAGTTATAATGCTTCAAAGTTACAGTATCGCCGGCACTAGCATTACCCAA